AGCGAAGTGCATTTAACACTGTTCGATTGGAGCTAAGTGACATGTCCCTGGGGTCACCAACATCGAAGTTGATGCAGTTGGATTAGTTGATTGTCTCCAGTCGTGCCAACACCGAACTGCTTCAGTCAATCTGCAACGCCAGTGATAGTATGAGCGAAGCGTGCCTGTGATTGCTGCTGGGTGTACCGGATTGTTGGCAGGCTGTACATGGTAGCAACGTCGTACTCGGAGTAAGTCTCATGCTCAGCTTGGTCTGGCACTTGCATAATTTCACCACATGATACTCTAGTACTACTAGTAGTAGGTGTGTTTCGTAGTTTGTTTCGTAAATACCCAGATAAAGGGAATTACTACGTAGTACTCCGGAGTAGTTTGGAAGTATCACATCCTAGCTGTTACCAGTATTATTATATTGTTAATAACTCCTACATCTGTACGATCATAGGACTCTGGTGAATTGCAAGTTCGAGGGCCGACTTTATTCAAGGTATTTACATTGTCTTGATCAATGAATTATCATTCTGGCTTCGGATACTGTTGTTGATGTGTTTAACTAATAATCTATGTAATGTTTGCATACATATATATATATCATAGATAAAGGTGGACTTGTAGTCTTGTCCATATACATGGATGGATGCATTATATGATTTGTGGAGTATGCATTCATGACCCACTGTACCGGTATTATATTCCACGTTGATGCATTCATACTTTTATACCTTCTCCTTTGTCGAATAAAGCGGTACATATATATATATACTATTAATAGTATATTGTCCTTTTTGCTAAATGTTGGACTTGTCAAGTTTAAAGCTCATTCCATGTTTGGTATACAATGGAAGATGGACAATGTGAACTGGGCGAAACTCTTGGGCGAAACTACACGAATCGATGATTGGTTGAAATTTCTCCAAGTGCACATTGATTGGCTTGGATATTCTCAAATACCTACATTTGTGAAATGCATTCGATTCTACTCGAAAGTCCAACTTGACACGGATATTTGACCATAGAGTTACCGGCGGTGGATATTATCAAGAGTGGGGGGTTCAAAGATATCAAGTCTCGAGGTGGAGCACACTCTACTGGGCCATCCGATGGTGCGGGAGTGTGCCGTGTATGGCGTGCCCGATGAAACCTGGGGCCAAGTGGTCACTGCGGCGGTGGTCGTGACGGACGAGATGTCGTTAAACCCAGGGAATAAGTGGAATTTTAAACGACAAACTGGCCAAGTACAAATGGCCGCGGGTGGTGCATGTCGTGCCAGCCATTCCCAAGAACGCGATGGGAAAAGTCAACAAGAAACAACTGACCGCGGTATTTGATACCGAGTTTAAAGTATAGGAAAATAGTAGGATGGGGTATTGGCAAATCGATCTGGAGTTCTCAGTAGAATGTCTTAGGAGAATCGATTAAAGAACTGTCTAGTCGAATTTCTGCCAAGCGAAACGTTTGGCCCCTCCAGCATTGAGCAAACCAACTACTCAACACATCAAACCAGTTGGTGCAATGCGCATGCGCATATAAACCTTGCGCTCATGATAGATAATTATATTGTGCATTTCACTCATATTTGGACTTGACAGTGATTTCACCAAATACTTTAGCATTCGAATCCATTTGATCTTATTTAATCTTGTACATACTATACTATACAACGATTAGTATGTATGTGGCTTTAACGTTTGGATTGGCACATGACGAAACGTGATTTGATTGGCTTAGGTGGTTCTTTAATCCCTTCTCTTCCAGTTTACTGTTAGTCCGATCACTATTATCCGGATTCTAGAAATCCGGTTAGTTTTTACAAGTACCAATGATATGTAACATCGACCATGATGTGTTGTGGATGCTGTCGAGTTGTCATTTCTCACCTTTCATCACATGCAGAACCCAATCGACCATCTGCTGCCGCCGATGCCTCAGCACGCTTCCGATGCGCCACACTTCTCATACACGCACAACCCAAGCGCGAGCTCTCGCGCCGTGAAACGTAGCGGCTGCCCGACCCCTACCCCCGCGTGCAGTCCAACGCCGGGGACACGCGACGACGCCTTCCGACACCTCCGCCAAGAAGAGCTATTGAACCAAAAAATATTATTGTTTCAAGTACGAGTAATATTAATAGTATATCCATTAATTAATACAGTACATTACTCTTGGTTTTGAAATGTACATTACTCTTGGTTTTGAAATGAACTATGAATAAGTAGAATATAAAAGATCTAGCCAATAAATTTTTCTATTAATACCTAATTAGTTCTAACAAAGTTATAATATTCCTAAATTAATCAATGGATTAAAAACACTTGCTCTCAATCCAGATACTATACTTATGTAAAAAAATACGAAGCTATATTTCAAGTTAAAAGAGCCGTATTAACCCATTTAGATGCTGGTGCATTAACACACTTATATATTAAATGCTGTCGATGACTTGGCCCATGACGGTGCGCAGGTTGACAACAGCGACGAGGTTCACTCCGTCCGGGAGAGGTTAGACAAGATTCGGTGCATGTTGAAGGAGACAGTGACAGCAGGTGGATTTGGTGTGGTGCGTCGTCGAACGATATTACTGTCTGTTGGGTGGTCTGGAAGGACCCCAGGTGTGACGATGTCGTACAGTCGGTATGCAATCTGCGTCCCACGGGCACTCACTTTCAACAGCAACACATACTGAATCCCCGCATAACCGGCCCACCAACTCGCAGCTGCGGTCAGACTCGCCCAAGATTGACTTCGCCCAACTTCCACTGCCAGAGTGACCCAGTCAGAAATAGTTCGAGGTGCCGGTGGCGCCGTGCGGTTGGGCGTCCATCCCATCGGTCCAAAAGTGGCGTCGGCCTCCTTCTTCCGGAGCCCAGCTCTTCTCGCCGTCGTCGAGCCTCTAGTTGCAACCTCATCTTCATTTCCTGTGGCACGGAGGAACTTGGCCTCGAATTCGCAGGCTGTGCTTTCATGCACTGTTGTCGGGAGCTCAACAATCAAAATGCGCCCATCAGCAGTGAGGTCCAGAAATCGAAGTGCGACGGGCAGTCCTTCGCCGTCTCCAACGTACGCGTTGAATGCTTCAACTGAAACTCCGTCACAGACGACGTATGGGTCGATGTCGTCGCCGTCTTTGTCGAAGTAGCTGGCCACGTCATCCAGCTCCAGCCCATTCATGATGCCGAGGATTTGTCGGGAGGTTCTTGTCAGAGTCGTAGCAGTCGGAGCCATGGCTGCCGCAACCACAGACGTCACTGCAGTTGGGTGAGCGACTTTCGCTTTCTTGGGCTTGGTCGCATATGTATCAAACGAGTCCCCGTCGCTCAAACCTGCGACACTCATCTGTTCTCGCTCGAGATGGGAATGGACTCAGTGATTTATATCCGGATAGATACTCTTCCTACATACAAAGAGCAAGGTTATTGCAGTGACACTGTCTACTTAGCTCTTGATTCCTATTTATATCCGGACAAAAGAGTTCGTACGTTGAAGTAAATCAACTGGTATATGAGACACAAAGCCGACATAATTCGGCCCCGTGATTGGATGACCGACAAATGATTGAACTCCGATTGGTCAGTATACTTTCCGACAATCGACGAGGCGTTTGTTCGTAGCAGCAACATACTTTGAAGTATAACAAAGATTTAGTAACATGTACGGCTTTCTATTAGTTGAAATACTGTCGAAGCCTCTTACAAGGCATCACCGCTTCGTGATTGAATCTCATTCGCGCTCCCGGGATCCAAGTCTATGATGGCATCCCTTGGCAACTTGCCAACGAGGTCTGTATGACCGACATGAACAACGAATGCTGACATGTAGGTTTGTAATGAGCTTAGTATGCGTCGAGGAGCCTGGGCTCCTTGAACTCCCTTGTTCGGAAATACATGTCCAACTCAACGTGGCAGTAACGGCAAATATCGGCGGCGGCTGTACGTGGCCGTGATGTTCCAGTTGAAGGGGGACGCGCGTCCGACGAATCAAGACCTGACCAGCAACTTCCGCCGCGACATGATTGCCGGCTGCGGCCAACGACCCGGCCGTGGCGGCGGAAGCCTCGGCGCGCTTCCACGCTGCAGTTCCGCCCCAGCATCACTCTCGGCAGACTTGCGCTCGATCGTGTACAGCATCCACGTGCGTAGAACGTCCGAGCCCAACGCTGCGTTTGCGTACCTCCTCCAGGTAGTACAGTACTTATATTCAAGTCCGGGACGGTTTCGTAAGAGTTTTCGTACACTACCCAATAACCAGACAATACTCAGAGAAAATGTAGTGTAGCCTACATTTTTGAAAAACACATATTATTAGTGTAGGCAAAAATGACCACAAATCCACCAACGATTGTTTTAAGTTGCATTTACTACATGTGTAGTACGTGCTTCAGTTCCAATGCGTAGACTATTTGGTGCATTGTGTGTCGACACTGGGGATATATATCAGCTACCAAGTGAAGACTTCACCAAAAAGGCTATATTTCCATGTATTTGATGCTAATAACGTTAATGACGGGTACTACTCCCTCCGAGTAGTGTTACACAATTGAACTACAACTACATCTTTGTTATCACAGCTTTTGGATCCACGCCGCCAGCGGTGTCGTATCGCGGGCGTACATGGCAGCCCCTGTGCGGATGTTTTCCAGGAACTACGCCAGCAGGCGGGCAAACGCGCCTTGGGGCGGCCGACCAAGAAAGCTTCACGAAGCGGTGATGGCTGCCGTGACTTCGTAAGAGGCCTCGACAGTATTTCAAGTAGTAAGCTTACAATGTTATTAAATGTTGCTGCTACGAACAAACGCCTCGTCGATTGTCGGAAAGTATACTGACCAATCGGAGTTCAATCATTTGTCGGTCATCCAATCACGGGGCCGAATTATGTCGGCTTTGTGTCGTGTCTCATATACCAGTTGATTTACTTCAACGTACGAACTCTTTTGTCCGGATATAAATAGGAATCAAGAGCTAAGTAAACAGTGTCACTGCAAT